TATCTGCTCCATAAATAATTCTAGATAACTTATCTGAATTGTTTAAATGTGTAGAATCCACATAAGCTTGTTTTTCATCAACCGGTCAAAATTTACAGCAGGGCATGCAAATTCGGTCCATTTTTGGCCAGACAAACTGCACACAGGCTGAATGTAAATATGACACTAGGTGGCGCTTATGGAAAAGCTGAATTAGAGCTGTTTCCCGTGAACTCCGTGGACAAAGCAGTAGGGCTGCAACTAACGATTATGTTGATAATCGATTAATAGGATAAAAACTTACCTTTTTTTAATTGGGTGTTTTGCTTATTATAACTATATAAAACCCTAAATCTGGGTATTTATGTCTATAAGTGTACTTTAAAAAATGCAAAAGACACGTATTGAGTTGAACTATCTTTAATTTTGACATTTTAAACCTTAGATAAAACACAAAAGTTTGCCCAGTTTTTGAATTTGAACAGTAAACCTGCTTTAAATATCCAAAATATAAATAAACAAAAGCAAAACAAGTACTGAGTTGTACTCATAAAATTCACATTATGAAATTAGGACATAAACATGCTGGCAATAAGATATTAGCAGCAGAACTTGTTAAAATATCAAAATTATAAATAATAAATAATGAATGTTACTGTAGAATGAGGTAGAATGCAGAAGAACAGGAAAACTGTCACTTTTCAAAGTTGTTCATATGAACATGTTTCTTATTAATTTTTCCAAAATTTAGAATTGGAATGCAAAAATGTCAGCATGTCCACATGCTCTGGGTTGAGGCTGGCTCACTTCTCCTTTGAACAAATTCACTCATGCTGAGTTGTTTTTTTCTGAAAAAAAAAAAACAAACAAAAAAATTTGTATTGTTTTTAATGATAAAATGTTCACAAAAATCACAGACATTGTTCAGTTCAGTTGTGAAGATATAAGCATCTAAAATTCATAATTCATTTAATTTTGTATGATAATTAAATGATATGCATAAATGAAATATACAAACATTGAATACAATCATGTTAACGTAGCAAAGCTGCAGTAAATCACGTTTGAAAAAAAAAAAATAAGTTAACTGTTGTAATAGACAAATGCTATAAAAAAAAACAGAACGAAACGGAGAAACGCAGCAAGCTAACAGGCTTGAATAAAAAGAAAGGAAAAAAATATGCATTGGTGCACAAATGCATAAGCATTCGCTGAAAACCACAACACTGACTAACAGCTGTTATTCGCTGCTTTTAGATTTAGTGTTTGACGCAGTTCGCACTCCACGCCATATCGCGTACGTTATCTTGCCGTCACGCTCCCCCGTCACGTGCTCAGCCCAACTAATCGATAACGGCATTCGTTGACAATGAATTTCATTATCGATTATTATCGATTAGCTGTTGCAGCCCTACAAAGCAGTATTGCGATTAAGAACACTTCCTTTAGGTATTACATGGAGCGAAGATGAAAACAAAATGCCATCGAATCGTTTCTGAAGACAGTCAGAACCTTCAGAGGTACATTCATATAATTAATTCATTCATATATTAATTTGTATAATTCCCTTAGCACTCTTTTAAAACCTCCCAGCTTTTCCACCCTGTTTTCACTCAAAACGAAACTACTCTGCTACTGTGCGCACGTGAGACTGTTACTTAAAATTGTGCTTTATGCTGGACAGTATTTATTTATAGCGAGTTGTTCAAATCGCGGTAATCGAATACAGTTTTAATGATAATTAAAAGATGAAACGGTAATACTAACCGTGGGGAATTTTATCATGATTTATCGTCAAACCGGTAATCGTTACATCCCTAGTCTTGAGACACTAGCACTCACTCAGTGACAATAGTGGGGTATTTTCTTACCTTCTTGTTGAGCTCGATGTTCTCCAGGACTTTGATGGCCTGATAGTAATCGCCCAGCAGAGAGTGAAGCCTCAGCAATCCCACCAGACTGAAATAACCCAACATCTTATAGAGAGAGTGACGGCCGTATTCTCCAGCCACTGACTCTGGGTCACCTGTGACACAAACACCGGCGTCACACTGACATCTGAATTAGACGAACAAGAAACCAAGGCATGAGAACTGGTTGGCGTCTTTCACCTCCGCTAGTGTACACCTCCAGCTGACCGTTGATGTTGCTCTTGTCCACCAGAGAGTGAAGGACATTCAGCACGCTGTGAACGTTCCAGATCTTGGGATTGTTCCTCAGGAACTCGATCTCCTCCTCTGACTTCTTGGCCGTCTTACAGCGATACTGACTGAACGACTGGAACTGCAGAATGGAGAGAGAGTTCAGCACCTGCCATTCTTCACTTCTACACGAACACATCAGTAACAGAGAAGGCGGCAGTATAAGAGAACTTATGAGGACAGAGGCTCTTCTCAACTAACTTACCTGGTAAATGAACTCATCAATTATGTCCCATAACCACTGGTTAGGAAGCTCCAGAGGTGCTGGTCCATCAGCATCTGACAACATGTAACACATTAAATGTGCTGTTGTAAATCCATCAAACCCACTTAAATTGACTACTTCAATGGACTGGCTGATCTAATCATAAAAACCCTTTGACAATATTCAAAAAACACAAACATTCTGAAGTACATTTTTATGTTTTTATGTTAATTTTTTTTATGACTGAAGCTGCATTTACTTAATTAAAAATACAGTAAAAGCAGTAATATTGTGAAATATTATTATAATTCAAAATAACTTTTCTACTGTAATGAATTTTAAAATGTAATTTATTCCTTTGATGACAAAGCAGAATTTTCATTATTACGTATTATTAATTTTAGCATCATTACTCCAGTGTTCAGTGTCACATGATCCTTTAGAAATCATGCTGATTTGCTGCTCAAAAAATATTTATCATCAATGTTAAAAACAGTTGTGCTGCTTAATATTTTTGTGGAATCTGTGATACAATTTAAGGATTCTGCAATGAACAGAAAGTTTAAAAGAGCAGCCGTTTTTTTTTTTTTTTTTGAATAAGAAATCTTTTGTGACATTATAAATGTACTGTCACTATTGATCAATTAAACGCATCCTTGCTGGGAAAAAAAAAGCATTAATGCCTTTCAAAAGAAAAATAAAAGACTTATACTGACCCCAAACTTTTTAACAGTAGTGTATAGAAATAATAGCATACATATTAGACAATATTTTAAAAACTACAATATAAAGAATGAATTAATTAAAATGTTGCTCAAATAGGAAGATACATTGTCTGCATATTTTAATATTTATGATTTTACTCTGAAGTGGCTCAAATTGTTTATACACTTAAAAAAAAAAAACTTTTTCCACAACACAAACATTTGAAATATTGCCCAAATTTAATTCCATCACATGTAAATGATGAGTTTGCACTCACTGAGAATGTAGTTGAAGAGGTTGCAGTAATTGTAGTAGGACTCAAACCTCTGGTCAAGAGTTGGACCTCCCTGCATAAGAGAAAAAGCCTCATTATTGACAGTTCTTCACATCAGAGCTGAGACTCATGAGCTAAAACTATATTCACAAAGACTCTTGTTGTCATTCAATGAGACAGATGAGCAAAAACACTCACGCTGACTTTGGCGTAGATGTGCCTGTAATACAGCTCCTTGTAGAGGATCAAGAAAACCGCATCTGTAACAGACAAAACAGCATGCCCATGTCAGCAAAGAAAAATTCAATTCAGAGCTTCTGATTCCTTTCGATGAGCAAATATCACTCACCGTTGCCAACCAGGGAAGCGATGGCTTCTGCCTCCGGCCATGGAGAAGTCTTAAAGAAGCGTTCGGTCAGCTTGTTCCAGCTAAAATGAGATAAAAGCTAAATCAACATTTCCAGACATCAGAACAACACAGTCTATAAGCGTGCGGCTGCGCACCTGTTCTCGTACACATCCTGGATCTCGTAGATCTTCTGCTCAATGCTCTCGCTGGACACGCGGTTGGCCTGCAGCTCGTAAACCTTCTGATCGATCAGGTCTGAGATGGTTTTATGAAAATACTGCAGGAAGTTCTTGATGACCTCAGGGATCACATGATACGTCTGCTGATGCTCATACTGACGTTCATACGCCAGATCAGCTTTAGGGTCGCCTGCAAAAACACACATACACTTTGATAATAGTACACATTTACTCACTTATCAGTTTAGAAGCTATGCAATCCATTCGGCAGCTTTATTAGGATGACAAAAAGCTTAATATTACCAACGCATTAATAAATATAGACACCCATATAAAATGGCCATACAACAATATTGATAATCAATAACGTTACTTACCGGTGTGATAGTCATAATCACCGGGGCAGTTATAAGGGTCATACTGCAAACAAAAAGACAGTTTAAATGATACTGTCTGATATTTTAGTAAGTCTGACATTTTAACATGAACATGCAGGTTGACTTTTGTAACGATAATTAACAAAAGGAATGATAATGAAGTCTTATCGTGACGCTCCACTGATTAACATCAACACACGTTATACGCTTGAAACCCTCACACATGCTCTCGTGTCTCTACAGTCACGAGCACTCGCCTCTTCATCGTCCATCGGGTAACTAGAGATGAGGAATGTTTATTCCTCTAATTGGCTTTTAAACCTCTAATAAACCCCACGGCTGCCGCAGAGCACGACCGGAGGAGAGAGAGGAAGTCCACTGCACATATTTCCGGTGACGCGGTCGAAGCGCATAAGGCATTGTGGGCCAGTGGCGGAATCCTTTGGCTGAATTGGAAGTAAGACTTATTAATTCAGACGCGAAACAAGCAATTTTAAACATTCAAATACAAAACATAATTGGCTACTGAAAATGTCTTTCCCAGACAAGACATAAACATTATGAAACAAGACAAAGAAAATAAAGCATAGGAAATAAAAGAACTTAATCAAATAAACAACCCTTACGAAAATTAACCATTGTTTTACTACAAATAGAACCAAAAAAACTTAGGATAGTTAAACCATGGAATACATGTGGTTAAACAAATGGTAATCAACATGCCAAAAAAAAACAAAAAACATGATTACTACTCTTTTACAACAGTAAAACCATGGTTAATTTTCGTAAAATGTTCATAAATACACGTGGGGACCAGTATTTTTTTTTGTAAATATATATTTTATATTTAAGTTTATATTCCTCTATTAAATAACAGAATTTCAAGGCATTTATTAATTTCAGTGTTAAGAAATAATGACACAGTTCCTTGTGAAATATGTCGAAATTTGGTAAAGTTTTCAAGGATCTATTCGTACATAAAACAACTTTCGACTGTAATTATAGTCATTACTAAATCACACGTTTCATTTTTTTTTTCATAAATATACCAAAGATCACATTTTCCTTTTTTCCCCCTCTCTTTTAATTCAGTCAAATTTAGGAAATCCTCCCAAAAAGCAAACTCACAATCATCATCATCACAATCAAAATAAACTATGTGACACAATAATCCCTTACTAATAACAAAGACTGTATAATAACACCAAAATAATGATACTGAGGAAATTCAATACCCATAAAATTGAAAAACGAATAAATGATTAAAGCTTTTGGTATTTTATTTAATTTACTGTAGTAGTATATTAATTTAAAGATTATTATACTTTTTTATTAATAATAATAATAATAGTTATTATTTGCCGCATATTGGCATTTTACCAGCTATTTTTATGGTGAATGTTCTCTGATATAGAGCTGCATTTCCACATGTGTCCTGTAGATGTCGGAGATGTTCCTATAATTGAGGATTCACACCTGCCCATCAGATTCACTGTAACACAGCAGAGTTAGGCTATTTCATCCAAGTTTTTATTGGCTTTTATAATGAGGTATTTCGTCAAGTCACAAGACAAGTAATGAAACACCATGGATTATTGCGATTTTGTCAACAACAAGACACCCAGTCAATATTTAGTGTAGAGCTAATGAATTCAGTGAGTGAACACGAGAGGCAAAAATAGAAAGTGTGCCCTTTGAATGAACACAACTCTGAAATCCCACATGTGTAGTTTTGCCTCTGCGCTCCTGGGAATGGAGGCTGTTATGAGTTTCAATAACTGCTGCCATATGTCTACTTATTTGGCTTGAAGAGAATTGGAGAAATGCTGTTCAAAGTGTTTGTTTTGAATTGCTTTAAGCTACTCTGGCATGTTAGTGCAAACAAGCCAAAGTGTTCCAAAAATTAAAAACACGCACAAAGATACAGGAGGGATTTTAGTGATGTATTGATTATTAATAGTGATGGTGCTTCTGCTGAAGATGATGGGTTTCTGTAAATGAAGATGGAAAGTGTTAAACATCAGCATTTTACATAGATCATGTGTGTACACGTATTCCTAAACAGTCAGAAATTACGTCATCATTATTTACCTCATGATTACATTGTTTTATATTTTATTATTATATTATATTACACAATAGGCTATTCTATTCTATTCTATTCTATTCTATTCTATTATATTATAAGCCAGTACAGCTTATCACTTCAGCTTCAGTTCAGCTTGTCACTTCCAAACAGAGAGTGATTTACGTGTGTTGTTGAGAAAAAAGTGCAGAGGGAGGGAGAAGACAGAAGTTTTTTCCCCTCAGCTACCAGCATCTGTAAGAGATTCCACCCAAACTTACCTCCCGACTACAGCACGGGCATCCGATAAACACACACACACACACACCGAGG